CGGAGCGGACGCCATCGGCCCCTCCCCTCGCCGCCAGTGGGGAACAAAGGGTACTCGCTGGGTCCTAAGGACCGGTCACGTCCGTGCAGGCAGAGGCGCACAAGTCGCCGGATTTGCCCCAGTGGGAATGAACCCATCACCACATCCCTGACCACATCAAAATGCCTTTCCTCCCAGAAAGCACCCAACCGGGTGATCCAATCAAAGATGGGTCGGAAAGATGAGAAGCGGGAAATGTCTACTTAGTGCCCGCAACTAACATGGCGCTGATAGCTTCAAGGCCCCATGGAGGATTAAATAGAAAAGATGGTGCCTGGTATTTTCTATCTGTATTGCACTTGGCGCAATTCAGTTTCTCTCTTCCTTCCAGATGCAACTTGGCATCCTGTAAAGAAGTAGTGCGAGACTGGGGGAAAGGAATCATAACTGTCTACGTTAGCACCAGTTAGCGTCATTGTAGACTACAGGAATCCGCAGGCTGAGCTTATTGCCCTGACGCTATGCAGCGCCTGGGATGATCATAGACCCCGCCCCGCTGCCCTCAACCAAGATGGCGCCAACATGGCTTCTCTAACTTTCAAGCCCAGGAAAGGGAAGGGAAAGAAGAAGAAGGGCGGGGTGGAGTGGAAAGGGGGAGTCGAGGGGGCGGGAGAAGGGGGGGGGAGAGAGAGAGAGGAGCCGAGGCGGAAGTTGAGGGGCCCCCCGGGTGGAAGTGACGCTGCCCCCGCTGTCCAAAATGTCGGCGCCCAGAGGGAGGTGTAAGTAATTAAAGAGGAAAGCGGACTGACTTCCCTGGCCTCTCGAGGCCTCATCAAGCTTCCAGGACCTCCGCCCTGTTTGAGCGAGGTGGACCTGCTCGGTCCCGGCCCGCCTGACCTGCCCCCGCCCCGAGTGCCCGGGGCCGAACCTTCTAGGGCCAGGGGGAGGGGCACAAAGGGCCGTTTTTTCGGGCCTGGGTCTCTGCGCCGACTGTTCTGGGGGGGCCCGTTCTGCTAGCCGTGGGGAGCACGAGGGGGCGGGGCCTAGTGGTGATGTGGGCGGAACAGGGACCGGAGGCGCCTAGGGGGCGGGGCTTGTTGTGGGTGGGGCTTCGTACATTTTAAGCGTCTGTGGATAGAAACTGGGAGGGGCTTAGGTAAGGGGTGGGGCTTTAATACTGTGGTGGGTGGGGCCTATATTGAAAGGCAGAAGGAACTCTGTTTAAGGCCTGCTGGGAAAATAGGGACCAGGAAGAGGGCAGGAGGAGCTTAGGGTAGAAGGGGTAGAGTTTGTCTGGGGTGGGGTTTGGTGCTGAGAGGGGGCCCAGGTTTAGGTGTGTAATTTGGTGAGTTCCATAGAACTATCAAGTCTTTATAATAAAAGTGAAAGAATTTGGAGAGGATGGAGGGGGCTCAGTAGCCGACTAAGAAAGGGTGGAGGAAGTTATAGGAGTGGAGTGGGGATTGATCTTGGAAAGGATGGGGCCTACTTGAAGGAAGAAATGTATGGTGTTGGAAGTCAGATCTTGTTAAAGTACAAAGATTGGAGAAGTCGGATGACTTGGAAAGCGTGGGGGTGCTAAACTAAGAAAGTAGTAGGGCCCTTATAGATAAGGGTAGTCAACAGCACACTTGCTGAGTCTCAACTGTGCGCTGGCTCACGTGAGCACAAGCATACTTGCCTGGCTGTGGCTTAGTGCCTGCCACCATTCCATGAGGTAGGTACTAGAATCTTTCCCTTCTTACAGAGGACCAGAGTTTTGACTGGTTTTTATCTAGGTTGCACAGCTAGTTTTGGTCTTCCTGGAAGCATGACACTGGTGTGCTTAGCTGCAAATCCTTGTCCTCCTGTTCACTAAGCAGTCATCTTCAAAGAAGTGTAGGAGAGGCTTTTGGAGGGAAAGTGGCATGGCCAGGAATAAGTGATGTTTAAGGAAGAGAACTAGTGTCTCCAAAGGAGTTGTGGGACCTGCATCAGAGTGGGAGGGGTTTAGAGAGGATCCAGAGAGGCTTAACACGGTGACTTGAGTAGAAGTGACACGGTAGGTAGTGGTTATGAAGATTGGCAGATGAATGAAGAAGAGGGAGAAAGGTTTGTAAGAAGAATCTTAAGAACAGTGGGTGTGGTTAGTGCGGTGGGCGTGGCTTAGCAGTAGGAGGGTCTCCAAGGGGTCTGGTGTGGGACCTGTGAGCCTAAGGGGCTAACAGGGAGGTGATCCCTTCAACGGCTCTGTGTTTGCTCCCTACTCTAGAAAGCCCCCAGCCACCACTGTGCCACCTGTCACCATGGATGAAGCCCGGCTGCCCGCACCCCCGGCTCCTGCCCCTGCACCTGCTACAGCACAGGCAGCACCTGTTGCAGCCCCCCGCGTCCCATTTCACTGCAGCGAATGTGGCAAGAGCTTCCGCTACCGTTCGGACCTGCGGCGTCACTTCGCTCGGCACACAGCTCTCAAGCCCCATGCGTGTCCACGCTGTGGCAAGGGCTTCAAGCACAGCTTCAACCTGGCCAACCACCTGCGCTCCCACACGGGGGAGCGGCCCTACCGCTGCTCTGCCTGTCCCAAGGGTTTCCGCGACTCCACAGGCCTGCTGCACCACCAGGTGAGTCCACAGGCCCACACAGCCCGCACAGGGTTGAGAGGCAGCAGATCGAGGCCCGTGCACTTGCTTCCTCCCATAGAGAATTTCTCCTTTCCTCCCTCCGCCAAAGCGATACTTCTTTTTTGGTCACCGCCCATCACACACACACACAACATGCTAGTAAGTTGCCCCTCCCATGTGGCCCTGGCTCTGCCCCCTGCCAGGGCCTGCCCTGTGCATCCCTTCCTTATAGTAAAATAGTTTTATCACATGTACATATAATTTCTTTATTTCACAACTACCAATTGAGGGCTTTCCCTGGGCCCAACACTGAGGTTACCAGCATAAAATCAATTAAATATCAGCTTTCGGAGAATTTATGTTCCTTTGGAGACGGACAGTGGCCAGGAAAGTGATAAGAAAGCAGTTCCACAGATAAGAATGTTCTGGGAAAGGAGAAATGTTGGGAAGGATATTTTTAATAAATAAGTAAAATCGACATGGGGAGTGCAGGAGGGGAGATGGAGAAAGGTCAGGGCAAGGCCATGTTTGAGCTGGACCTGAGTCTGAGAAGGAGTCCGTGTGGGAAAAGCATTCCAACAGGAGGGATGCCTGCGCAGAGGCCCCAGGTGGGAAGGGCTTGGTGTGTCAAGGACTGACTGGAGACTGTGGTTGGGCAGGGTGGAGGCAGGCGGGGCAGCCCCACAGCCACCCGGAAAACCACGTCTGAGGGCCAGGCACCCTGCTAGGGCCAGGCAGACCTGGTTGACAGTGGTCTTCCCCATCTCTGTCCCCTGGCATCTCTCTTGGTTCAGAACATCATGTCCTTGATGTTGGCCCCAACTCTAGTGGCACCCCCTCCTCCTGTCTCCCTCTCTCATGTCCAGTGTTTGCATCCATCAAAGAGGCCAAGTACCCACTGCTTACAGCCCTTAATGCTCAGGCAGCAAGTCCCTCCACCCATGGACATCTGCCCACTCCCACCAGTAGGTCAGGATCCAACGGAACCCTTCAGTGAGCCCGACTCTAAGTCAGGTTCTTCAGGGAAAGCACAGTCCCCCTTCAGAGCCCCCACATCCAACAGTCCAGAGAGGGGGACATTGATTGACACCAGGTTAGTGACCATTAGACTGTGGCCAAAACTTTTTGGGGGGTGAGGAGAGCCGGTAAAGTGGGCTGGGCGGGGTCGAGGATGCTGCTTCTGAGAATGATACCTCTGCTCAACAGGCAGGAGAGGGCTGCCCAAGCCCAGGAAGTGCACGTGTTCATGGAAGCAGGATAGGC